GCGCGCCCGCACATGCGCCTGGCGTGAGTTTTAAGCCACCGGGTCCGGGACGCCAACCGTGGTCGACTACGTGGGAGTCCAGCGACATAGCCATTACACTAACTGCTGGTTCCCATGCCCAAAATCTTGAGAGAAGACTGGAAGAGAAGGGATTGCAGCGTGGCAATTTCCCCTGGGGAGTTATTTCTCACTTTCTCTCTCTCTGTCTCTTTGTATCTCTCTGGTAAGCGCATGTGCCTTTTTTAATTAAAAAATTTCTTTCCACTCAGGTGATTTGGAAACATACCCAAGCCATTATGTCCTCTCAGTCATAAGTATTTCAGTGTTTATTTCTAAAAAGATACTCACAGTACCATTACCTCACCAAAGAAATTAACTGTAATTTCTTAATATCACCAAATATCCAGTCAGTGTTCAGCACTCTCCAGTTATCCCAAAGCTTTTTTCAATGTATTTGCTCTAGTCAGGATCCTAATAGAGTACTAATATTGCAATTGGGTAATATATCTCTAAGTCTCTCTTAATTTGTAGAATCCCCTTCCATCTCTCTCTTTCTCCTTACCTCTTTCGTCATTGCTGAAGAAACTAGGCATTGAACTCAGTTCAATGGTTTTCTCAGTTAGGATGTTGCTGATTGCAGCTCTAGGGTGATGTTAACATGTTTCTTTGTCTCTTGCTTTTCCTTTAAATTGGTCATCAACTCTAGAGGTTTGAGGAGTTTCAGGGCTGACTTCTGGACATAACAGCTCATGAGTGGTGGTGGTTCATCCACTGGGAGGCTCATAAACTTTGGTCTTGGAAGGCACTAGTGGAGGTGCCGATTCACACCAGACCCTCTGTTTTTGTGTGGGGCTAGCATGAGAATGTAACCTCATGTTGAAAGCCCAATGTTGCCATTTCTGCTTGTGTTTGCCTTCCTAATTTCTGACAGCTCCAAGACTTTGGGCATATCTTTATGGATTTCTTTAATTAGGGAGTTATGGGTTTCCCTAAGAGAGAAATACATTTAGGAAGTACCTATCGTGTCCTAAGAATGCTTCGAGGGAGGTGATATCACCTCCATTTTACAGGCTCTCTGAGGTTCAGAGAGGCCCCAAGTCTCTCAGTGAATGAGTAGTGGAGCCTGGATTTAAACTCAGATTTACTTTCAAAGCCCATTTTCCTTTTCCATGCCCCTCTGAGCAAAGTCCCTTGGGTCCCTCTAGTCTCCTTCTCATGCATGTTCCACGGTGAGGACATGGGCAGTGTCTGACCCACTTCCTCCTTTCAGTGAATCCGTATATTGTAGCTGAGAAAGGCAATGGGGTTTGGAGATGGAGAAGTCTGGTGTGACCTCTGTTTACCAGTGTGAATGAAGCAGGTCTGGGGAGCAGGCAGGAATCTCCCCTATCCCTGCTTGACTGCAAGGCTCCCAGCCCATTCCAAGCTGGCCTGGCAAGA